GATGATTCACACTCTCCTCATTTCTTGCATATACAACACCAATCCAACAAGAATACTCTCATCCTTAAATTATAGGACTTCAGAATGGACTGAAAGCTGCTGTTTAAGCAAAGAATGCAACTTTTTCGAGCACCTTGTAAAGGAGATCTTGACCTCAATCCCCTTTTGAGCTACCCTTGTGAAATGCAAAACTTAGTGGAGATAAACTGTTCCTTGTATTTTGTCAAGTAACATTAGGATATTAGTGGAAAATGCTTGCATTACTTAATCTAAGCATGTTTGTTTGCCTTTTTGTTGCACTCCCTTCTAGCCAGTGTTTGAGAACTCAAACCTACTAGTGTTGGACAGACATAATCTCTCTTAAACCCTTTTGAGCTACCCTTGTGAAATGCAAAACTTAGTGGAGATAAACTGTTCCTTGTATTTTGTCAAGTAACATTAGGATATTAGTGGAAAATGCTTGCATTACTTAATCTAAGCATGTTTGTTTGCCTTTTTGTTGCACTCCCTTCTGGCCAGTGTTTGAGAACTCAAACCTACTAGTGTTGGACAGACATAATCTCTTTTAAACAATTCTTGATAGAAAAGTAGGACACCATCTAATTTCTGGCTTGTTACTATTGAGTGAAACTTATTCAAATGTGTTCTACAAGTTCTAATAGAATCAACTTAGTAGTTTATGGAAGGTATGAATAAAGATAAAAGGGGATTGAGCTCAAAACCCATTTTTGGATATGATTAAACAGTCGCGTCATTCTATAATATTCATTGCGACGGTGGGTGGAGGGGTTTGAATGGATTGAATCGAACTGTGCGTGGGTCGAGTGGGTTTGTGGGTGGGAATGAGACTCTATTTCGAGAAAATGTTGGTGATTTGGTGAGGAATTTGAGCTTGGAAGGTGTTAACAATGGTGGATTCGCTGTTGGGTTTGTGAGTAGAAGGAATTCAACGGTTTATGGGTTGGCTCAGTGTTGGGAATTCGCTGTTGGGTCTGTGAATAGATCTATCACCTTCTCTTCTTCTTCTCTTTCTCTAGGTTTTTTTTTTTTAATTCATCAATGGATTCTCTCTCCTCTCTCTCTCTCTCAAACCTCTCATGCTTCAGAAATGTAAGGCCTTGTACTTCACCATCATCTTTTTCTCTCTCCCGCTGTTCCCGCTCCCTCTTCTCTCTTCCTCTCGTATCTTTGTTTTACAGAGAAAAGAGAGAGGGGGGAAAAAAAAAAGGGTTCCAAAACGACGTCGTTTTGGAACCTCGAGCCATTCGAGCCAATTGATTTTCGAGCAACATAGCAGAGTGGTAAGGAAAAATAACGCTTTTGCCCCTTTAATTTTTAAGAAACCTGCAGCAACAGCAACAATACACACCGGGGCATTTTGATCACTTAATATTCCCACATCATTTCAAACACATTTTTTAATATACCAATCTAACAAAAAATTTCAACTATCTTTCTAAGTACAGAAACTAAAATAATCTACTAAAATAGCTAAATAGCCTAAAAAGTAGTCACTTCCCAAACACTCACATCTCCCCTATATGCTGTCAACTAGGGCTGGATATAGGGTTATTTGACCTGTGAAAATTGCCTAACTCGAATCGCCTGCGCTTATTTGGGCAGTTTCGCAGAATTGTTAAGGTCGAATATGATTTAAGATTTTTCCGTTTTGCGGGTTACGGGCGGGTCGCGAGTTTTATCCACACCTGCACTCACCCACCCTCATCTGTATATAATTTTTTTTTTTTTTAACATCTATACTATCAGATTTTTTTGTAAGTTTTGCAAGTGTGTAACCCTAATCTTCTCTTCTCTCACTCACTTTAGCCTAATTATCAAATTGGTAGACTCTAACATTATAACATTATAATAATATATCACACAACCTTGTTTAAAATACTTATTATTCAATTAGAATTTTTTTTCAAGTTTTTGCAAATCTAGTTATGCGATTTTTTTTTTAATGTTAGTTTTTATTTAATTTTCATTCTATTTTTTTGTAATCCAGTTTAATGAATGATAGTGTTGAATCTCCTGCAATCAAAAATATTTTAAAATGAAAAAAAAATATGCCAAGATTATGGGTTGGATGTGATGTTTTGTTTGTTATGGCTAAAATAGCCTATTTTGTCTTTTGTGGCTAAAATAGCCAAAAAAGCCCAAGAACCAACTTGCCAAACATTATTATTCAATTAGAATTTTTTTTCAAGTTTTTGCAAATCTAGTTATGCGATTTTTTTTTTTTAATGTTAGTTTTTATTTCATTTTCATTCTATTTTTTTGTAATCCAGTTTAATGAATGATAGTGTTGAATCTCCTGCAATCAAAAATATTTTTAAAATGAAAAAAAAAATATGCCAAAAAACAAATTTTTAAAGGAAAAAGCTCAATCCGCAAATAGCCCCCAACCACCCGTACATCCGCGAACCTTATCCGCACAAACCGCAACCCGCATTGCGAGCGGTTGTGGGTTTAATTTTTCCTAAACTGCAAATATGCGGGCGGATCTAATCTGCAAATCGAGCTGTTGAAAATCAATCCGCAAGCATCCCACTCTTAACACTATAATTCACCCAAAAAAATCAATAGTACAATAATTCTATTTTTATATTGCTCTATATTTAATTTATTATATGAATTATCACTACGTTAAAATTGGTAACAATGATAGGTGGCCTGAAAAATCATGACTCGAATGGCTCAAAACACCCAAAATGACATCATTTTGAGTATAAAACAACGTCGTTTTGACACATTTAAGCCATTCAAATCACAAAAATTTTAGGTCACCAAACATTTTCCTAAAATTAGATGCAGCTAATAAAACAACCCACGTATAATTTAAGAGGTAAGTAAATCACGTACGATAATTTTTCACGCATTCAACTCTTTTCTTTACTTTGACACATTTAAGTTGTTAGAATATAAGATAAGTCATTTTGTGGTGTTTTGGAAAGTTTGTAAAAAGTTAGTTTTTTATTTATTTATTTTTTTTGGGTGACTTTCTGCTTTTTTGTGTTAAAAAGCTAATTTTTTGTGATTTTTTTGTCTAAAAAAATTAAAAAACTAAAAAGTTAATTTTTTTAACTTCTTTTCAAATTGCCCCTTTGTATGTTGTAGACGTGGCCACACACGAGTACGTAGCTCAATATAACAAAAAAATTGTTGTGTGGTTATGAAGTACCAAATAGAATGCTCACCGTAAATAAAAATTTACGATACAGGCTAAGTGAATATTCTTTAACTGTTAACTATTTAAAAAGGGTAAGTCATCATATTTCACAAGTAAAATTTTTTACTTCCAACAATTACCTGGATATAATGGGCTATGATGTGGCATTTTATGGACAATTAGTGGGGGTTATTTGGGATTTAATTTTTTTAATTGTTTTTCTGACTTTTTTTTTTTTTATGAGACGAAGAAAGTTCATATATTTAAAAATGACTTTTCTTTAATTGTATAAGAAAACATGAATAACAAGTGTTCGACTTGTTTTGTTTTTTTAATAGGGATTTTTATTTTTTTTATATTTTAACATTTTTTAAAAATTTCTATTTAGAAATTAATTATTTCTTGTTTTGTTTTTTTAATAGGGATTTTTATTTTTTTTATATTTTAACATTTTTTAAAAATTTCTATTTAGAAATTAATTATTTTAATTTATTTTGTTTTTTCTGAAAACCATACAAAAATAAATACATATATTTAAAAATGACTTTTCTTTAATTGTATAAGAAAACATGAATAACAAGTGTTCGACTTGTTTTGTTTTTTTAATAGGGATTTTTATTTTTTTTATATTTTAACATTTTTTAAAAATTTCTATTTAGAAATTAATTATTTTAATTTTTTTTTGTTTTTTTGAAAACCATACAAAAATAAATAAATAAAAATAATATGATAAATTTTTTGATTTTTTAATTAAAAACGAAAGACCACAAGCGGTACATAAAAGTCAAGTAGTCAAATAAGTGGATGATAGGATTATGGATGGATGGATGGATGGAGAGCACATCTCATTTTCAACAGTTTTGGTTCAAAAATCATACCTCAACAATTTTTTCTAAATCCTTCTTATTTTAGGGAAGCCTAAAAGGTAACTAAAAATGGCAAGTCCACGGTTCCCCAAACGATAATAAAAAAATATAAAAAAAATTCTTCTCTCTCTAAAAATGATTTTACAATTCTTCTTTCTTTAATATTTTGGCTTTAACGGTGACATTATTTCTCTTTAAAAATATTACATTACCAATCCACTGTTAAAAAACTAAGATTTTTTTTAAAAAATAAATATTTATATCACTTTGGATTATTTTGAGAAGATAGTTAAAAGTTAATTTTTTGACTGTTTATAAAAAAACGTGAGAGATGATATGACCCAAAATAAGTTAAAAGCTTAAAGATAACTTTTAACCATCAATCTAAACAATTATACCTTTAGGGCATGTTTGATTGGGTGGATTAGAGCATGAGATTGAGATTATTAATCCGTGGGCCCAATTATCCTATGTTTGTTTTAACATTTTGGTTTAAATTTGTACAATTATTAGTAATGGGGTAGAGGTGGGATTATTAATCCAATGAATATTAATCTAATTGGATAGTGAATACCACACTAATTTAATAAGATTATTAATACTACACTATTAATCTTGTGAATCAAACATGATCTTAAGCTATTGACAGAATTGATCACAGAAAAAAAAAATGGTAATCCCACACAATAAAAGATAGGATCTGTCACTAAAAAAACTGTTTCACTTGCATACACCTTTATTTTTTTTCCGTCAATTTCATAGTGAGTTCTGTATATGTAGAATTATTATTAAATAAAAATCTAGCTGGACAATTAAGGGTGTCATAAAAAAGTGTACCAAAATCACTGAACTCTCATATTTTGTTCGTTCACATCTATAGCTGTGAACAGAATGTTTTATGTCAGTGAATCCAGTGAGCAAATTTTTCGGTTCAATGTTATTGGGAAAGGAGGATGGAATACCTGTACGATGGAGGGTTCTTAGGCCAAAACTTGTAGTTAATAGCAGAGGGAGGCCAAATCTTATGAAACAAATGATCAACCCATCCTTTCTTGCCTTCCACTTCCTTTTGAAGCTTTGTTCCATACCCTTCCACACTCTTGGACTCAGGAGGCTTAGCATACACCTCTTTCTCTTCCTGTGGCAGTTCAAAGAAGTCTTTCCCAACTCTCTGCAAATTCCCAATGACTTCATCTGGTATTCCATGGTTTACAACCTGAAATATCCCCCAGTCCCGGCAGGCCTCAGCGACCAATTGGACAATATTCTGGTCGTCCGAGTCATTGCTGAGGTCGATCACCGGGACTTCCAGGACCTTGCCCTGGATTGTGGTGATTGCAGGTTGTTCATTCTCCGACCTAATGTACTCAGCTGGTATTGTGTCTATGCACTTGGACAGAGAAGCTATGACTTGCACCCTCTCCAACTCCATTGTTTTTTTTCCCCTTCTCACTCCTAAGACAAAATAAAGGTTTTCCTAGGTTGCTTAGTCTGTCCCCCCCTCTCTCTCTTTTATGTGTGTGCATTACAACAACTTGTGTGCCCTTTTTATAAATGTATTTCGTACTGAGGTAATTATCTCGAAGTATCATATAATATTTTTTATATAATGTTTTCATTTCAGGGTGAAAGGAAAAATTTTATAGATAGAACAATGTTATTTAACGAGCTGAATTCGAACTAACTTGACTTAAGTATGACTCGAACTCGAGTTTACTCACGAGTTTTAACAAGTCAAAAAAATTATAAAATCATATTTGTATATGAAATTAAAGTTAAAATTAAAACTTTCATTGTACAATTATATATACAATATATATAAATATACTAAAAAAATCAATATTTTATAAAAATAATAATATCTACCATCATAATATATAAATGTATTATTTATAGTTAACTATTATTTATAATTAGATTTTTTAAATATATAAATAACATATTTATCTTATTTTTTATACATATTTTTACATTATTTAATATATAAATAATAAATGTTAAACGAGTCAGCTAACGAGACGAGTTTTAATATGTTTTGGTTTGTTTATTAAAAATTTAACAAGTTCGAGCTCAAACTCGAACGCAAAAAAAAAAATTACTGAATCGAGTTCGAATGAGTTCTTACCGAACCAAATTCGACCGTGTTCATGAACGCCCTATTCATTTGCAGTCTTACTAAAAATACCACATAAATAATATTACATAATATGTATTATTTGAGAGTAATTAATCCGTTTCATTCTTGTCGTCACTTGTAACAAACTTTACATGAACGAATTATCATGTAAAATGGATTGAGAAAGTTGGAGAGAGATTGGCTGATTTATGGGATAGATAGGTGAAACGTGGTAGAAAGTGATTCACAGGATGACTCGTACCAACCTTCGCAGTCTTATTCGGAGTCGAGATCTTCTTAACTTTCGTTTTTTATTTTGTTGTTGTTTCTACGTTTTAGTTTTTTATTTTGTCCAATGATATGATAATTAATTAAAATAAAAAAATAAAGGGAATGTTGTGATTAAATATTTTGATTTTTTTGATTATTTCAATATATAAAAAAAAAAAATCACATCCCAAACGGGTGGGATTGCTGGGAGACCCTATAGAGATATATGTCCTATGTCTATATTGATGGTCCAATTGTTTATATTATAAGATTTAATGAGTATATCATTAATAAAAAAATCAAATTAATCAAACTATAATCTATGATTTAAGTCTTAATTATTTTTTAAAAATAAATATAATTTTATTATAAAACTATAAATATTTAATTAATTTAATTTTTTCATAAATCATAAGCGACTTCACACATGTGACATCAATTAATAAATAAATAAATAAATTTTATAACTTTGTATGGCATTTATGAGTGAGCAATAGGCAGGGAAACTGCCACACCTCCTCGGAAGCGGGTAGCTGCCAAAGCACGGGGCTGTGATAGCACAACGGCACGGCACCGCACCGTTTTGTTCATTAAATATATATATATATATATGAAACATAAGTCACTATGTTGCTGTAGTGTAAGGTAGTATTTGAGATGATTTAAATAATTATATTTTAAAAAATTTTAGAGATCTTAATGTTGTGTTTGATTGGAAATTTGGAAAGGATTTGGAAAAGAAAAAAGGAAAAGTTAAGTGAAATGTGAAACAAATATATCTATATTTCACTTAATTTTACACACTTTTTCTATTTCCTTTTCTAAATTCCTTTCGAAATCCTCCAACTAAATACAGCGTAAAAATTTATCTAATTTTCTTTCAAATGTCTCACATAGGCGTGAAATCCAACCATATGGGTTCCACAGTTATGTGAGATATTGATAAAAAATTTGATAAATTTTTTTAAATTTCTAGCATTATTCTCATATTTTTTGGCTCTTTATAAAATGATATAGAGAAGTAGAGAGATGATATGACCTAAATATATGCACTTATCTAAATAAATACATTTATATAACTTATGCCAAACACCCTTAAAACTACGGGTTTGGGTTTAGGTTTATGTTGCCTTTAGGGAAAAAAAAATAAAAAAAAAAAATTTGAGAAGCTATAAAAAAATTAATGACAAAAAATAATTATTAAATTATTGATTTTAACTAGTAAATTGATAAAATTTATAAATTTATTACGTGACATATGTCGTTCATATGCTCATTTTTTATTTTTATTTTTTATTTTTAACAATTATAATGAATTGAATCAAATTAAAATAAAGTCAAAATTATATCAATTAAAATTACATGAATCAAAATGACAAAAAGACAAAATATAAGAACTATTGATATAATTTATCCTTATTTTTTTTAACAAAAAATTGATTTTTAGACAAATAAAAATATTATAGAATTCAATTTTTATACAATTTTTTACTTATTTTTTTCAACTAATCAAATCTATTACTTCTTTTAGCAAATGTGAATTTCATTTTATTTTTTTTTCCGCCTAAACCCATTCATTACAATTGAACTCAACCGAAAATATTGAGTTGTTTCAAAAAAAATTTTGGATAAATTATAAATATACTTCTTAAAATTTGCTTAAAATATAAATTATCTTTTATAGTTTTAAAAATTACAAATACCCCCTTTTAATTTTTTTATTTAACAAAATTAACTAAAAAACAAAATTTCTAATTGTTTTCCAATATAATGATAAAATTCCCAAAAATATTAATTCAAATATACTTATTTCTGATATTATTAAAAACTGTTAATTGACTTGATATTTATTAATAAAAGATGTCATCTGCTATGAAATTAAAAACTTAAAGGAGTGAGATGGAATTTTCAAAATTATAAGAGACAAATTTTATTTTAAATAAATTTTAAAAAATATATCTTTAATTTAGTATTTTTTTTAGTAGCTTCTTTTTTTCTTAAAGTTAACAAAAGTGTAGTTTTACTCTACAGCAACATAAAAAGTACAAGGCGTGCCTGTTTCATAATATTATTCACTTGATTTCTATTTCTAGAATTTACTTTTTAAAATTTTTATTTTTTATTTTTTCATTTTCGTATTTTTTTTTATTTTTATTGATTTTTTTTAATATTTCAAGTAATTTTTTAATTTTTAAACACACCTTATATAAATATACTTAAAAGGTATAATATTTGTGGGAAAATATCTTTAAAAAATTCACTAAATACCAAAAAATAAAAAAAGTACGAAAATTTAGTTCATTTTTCATATTTTTGTGTATATAATAATTTTTTAAAATATTTTTTCACAAATATTTTACTATTTAGATATATCTAAGTAAGGTACATCTAAAAAAGAAAAAAAAAAGAGCTTAAAATTTTAAAAATATTCACTAAAAATAAAAATAAAAATACGAAAAAAAAAATCAATTTCTAAAAAATTGAATTCAGAAAATTAAAATCAAACACATTAATTATTATTATTATTTTAATAAACAAAACGATGTTGTTGTATTGTCCCGCTTGCCTAATGTCCATCCTACGACTTTTTAAAGAAAAAATTAATCTAACATTTCTCTTCAATATTGAGTAGTATGAGAGATTTGTAATTTTTTTCCCTCCCTTATCCATTTTTTATATTATAAAATACTTAATTTATCCTCCCATATAAGCTACGTTGATTTTGATTTGAAAATTAAAGATATTTTTTGTTGTTTTGGTGGAAATTTCATAGGGATTGAGATTGCAATTTGATTTCAGATTCTCTGCGATTTCGCTGTTCATTGTTCTAGTGGAGTTGATTTCAAGTTGTTCGTTGTTCATTGATTTGGATTTGATTTGTATATAACGATTCTGATTTCACATTAGGTTTTCGATTCCCATTTGTGATTTGGAGATTACGCTTTTGTAATTTTGTTGAGGTTTTTGTTTTGGAAGCTTTATTCAATATTTCGAGTTGATTTGCAGTAGAGGTGTTTGTTATTCATTGATTTCAAGTTGATTTGATCAGACAAAATCACAAAGGAGAGTATGTGATTTGGCTAAAGAAAATCAACATGACAAATGGAAGAAAATCAAATTTCTCATCACACAAAAAAAATTATCCCAACCTTTCAAAATGTTCATTGCAAAGGCAGAGAAACCCCTGATAGAGAAAATTAACTTGCAAGAGAAAATTATACACATCGATTTTGAGTTGATTTGCAGTAGAGGTGTTCAGTGTTCATTCATTTCAAGTTAATTTGACTAGAGAAAATCACAAGGGGGAGTGTGTGATTTGGATAGAGAACATCAACATGACAATGGGAAAAGATCAAGTTCTCTAGCCATCACACAGAGAACTTTATTCTAGTGTTTTAAAATGTTCGCTATAAAGATAGAGATATTCCATGATAGAGAAAATCAATATGCCAGAGAAAATTATACACACACAATTAGTTTTAGGAAGAAGCTTCAAAAGAGTAATAAGTGAGAGGGAGATTTATAATCTGGTTTTGGGCCGTGGTAGAAGCCGAACAGAAGATGGCCGAGCAAGTTTGGGCCGAGCTAACTTGGGCCTATTTAGAGGTGGTTTTGCTCGGTCGAGGTCCAGGACTGAGTTTGGGCCAAGCTACTTGGGCTTGTTTGCATCCAGAATCGTTCTTGATCAGCCGAAGGTCAAGCCTCGTGTATGGGCCGAGCTTACTCGGCCGAGTTGGTCACCTGCCAACTCAGGTTCCATGGTTCGCACATTTAGCTCGGCGGAAAGGCTTTCTGTTTGCCGGCTCGACCTATCTGGAACTCTGCTCTACCAGAATACTACTGAGCTCGGTTGTTATGGAGCTCGGCAAGTGGACACTAGGACTCGTTATGCAGCCCGGTCGTGTGAAGTCAAGGTGATGCCGCCGGGCTGTCGAGTTCCCGGTAATGTTGTCTGGCGGTTTGGTTAGGTGGTGTTCGCTAGATTTGTGCTGACAGATGGGAGAGCAGCTCCACGTGTCAAGAGACCAATGGGTGCAAAGTTGAGCGCAGAAAGTATATAAGTATGACTGCGCCCCCCATGCTGGGGATGGAACATCATTTGGTGAGATAGACTTACATTTATTGAGTTTCTCTCTC